CCATAACAAGACATGAAGTTCTAATTATACATGCCACACGGACGAACCTTGAAAACAGTAGGCTCTGTGAACTCTAGCAGACACAAAAGATCAAATATTGGGTCATCCTTCTAATAGGAAATCTCTAGAACAAGTAAGGGAATAGAAACAAGGAAGACTGGTGGTTACCAGTGTCTGGGGAGAGGGAGAAATGGGGTGTTATTGCTGAAAAGGCACTCAGTTTCTGTCTGGGATGATGAGACGCTTGGGGAAGGAGAGAGTGGTGATGCTTACACAGCCTGGTGAAAGCCATTCTTGTCCCTGAATTGTACACTTCAATAGTTTGTGTTATATAACTCTTGCCACAATAACGTTTTAAAAAATAAACTAAAAAAAAAGGACTGAGGGTGTTTGTGAATAAGTGAATAAATAAGTAGGTAAAGAGTGAATACGTGAAGGCTCGCCATCTGATGGTCAGGTCCAAACTGGGTCAATAAACAGGAGCTAACAATAGGTACAACGAAGAAGAAAAGGTTCTAGAATTGAATGGGGTGACAATTGTACCATTCTTTTTGATATGATTGAATTGTACGCCAGGTAGAGAGAGTGCTAATAAAACTGTTAAAAACACAAAAACCAAAAATAAAAGAGGAGCCTGTGGCTTGCTGGAAGGAGGGGCTGGACAGTCTCCTCAGATTTCTTCCCTTCAGACTGAGGGTCAGCCAGCTCTTTAACCCTCAGGCCGACCTCAGAGGACTAAGAAATGCTTCTGCACAAACCGACCTACCATTGTGAGTTGTCTTTGAATGGCTGAGAAAGAAGGAAACTAGAGGATGCCCAGCTTGGAGATAGCAAGAGAGGCAGAGAGAGAGATAGTGCCTAGTCTCGCTCTGCCTAATAAGAAATAACAACTGTTCTTCCTTCTGACTACGGCGTGGAGCCTATCCCTGTTCTACTCAGGATATTAGACAAATAAGGTCCTCTCTTTCCTATTCTTTGGACCTTCTGGTCCCACCCCCAGTTCCAGATGCAAGGTACTTCTAAGTACTCAGGAAAGACCCAAAAGATGTTTCAAAATAGGCTTCCATAGGTGGCAGATTTGGATATTTTGGTACCAAACATTTAATAAAACCAAACCAACTGCCATCCAGTCACGACTCGAGGCATTTCTGAGGCTGTCAATCTGAAGAGAAGACAGCCCCGTCTTTTCCCCTTGAAGCTACCGGTAGTTTGTGCCACCAACCTCGTGGTTAGGAGTGCTGTCGGTGCATTCAGCAAGGAGGGGCATAAGACATTTGGCTCAAAGGCATCTTAGAAATCATCGAATTCAGAGTCCTCAATTTGCAAACAGGCAAATGGAAATCCTGAGAGGCAGCTGGGGTATTCCAGCGAGCTGACCAATTAGTAGGCCTGGGCACAGGCATCCTGACTTCTAGGCTGGCACTCTTCCCACCTCTTGCTGACACAAATAGGGTCAGTGTTCTATTGTCACAAGCAAGAGTGCTAAAGACTAGGGTTGATGGGCTCTTCCCAGGATGAACTGCATTCAGTTAACATGGGCAAATGAATATGAAAGAGTCAAATGTATGACTGAATGGTGACCCGCAGATCAGTTGCCCGGCCCATGAACTACACCTTCTCCCCAGCCAGCCGGTCCTTGCCGTCATCGAAGGTGCAAAAAATTACACGTATCGAATAAGTCATCCGTAGATCATGATATTAGGTACCCAGAGGGCTGGACTTAGGAGCTGACTTTTAAATGAATTAGGAAAAGGAATCTAATACCTCCTCATACTTTAGTGTGTATCCCTGTTTCGTCCTAGAGTTACTGCCTTTCTGATGCACCGGTCGTTCGAGTTCCTCTTCGCTCCTTGTGCTAGATTCATAAGACATAACAGAAAAAACGACCTCAAAATTAGCCTGCTTCTACAAATTAAAGGAACGGTCTCCTGGCTTTTCTTTCCCATAACCCTGCGCGGCTGTGAGTTACCCTATTCATCTATACAAAGGGATCACAAAGTATTGGCATGCTGTTGTTCGGAGTTAACCAAGTTGTCTTTTGAAATGCACATGCAGACTCAGGAGCTAGTTATTCAAAGAGTGTCATGTGTGGTTCCTACAGTGGCCGCAAGTGGAGATGGGCTATGCGTCTTTCGGGTTGAGATCTGGCACACATGTATGGAAACCCCAATTGTTTGCCATTCCCCAAAGAGAGAAATGTTACTTTCAGAAGAACCAAGTATAAATGTTTTGCTTCCCCCAGTCTCAGATCCTTTTGTATATAGAGATCTGGTTTCTGGGGACATTCTTTTGTCTTCTGGCTTTTATTCTTTGGTCCTCTATCTTCTGAGGTCATCACCACTAGATCAAGACCAAGTCGTTTAAATACACTCTTCGGAAAGCATCGCCCTGGGCTGGAAGACCTCCAGTGGAGTCCCAAAGATGAAGTTTCTTTCCTGGAATTCAAAATGTTTTAGAACTTGACCCTTGACGGCTTCCTTAGCCACAGCTCTGTCTTCTCAACCTTGTCATTACCACCATTGCTCCAGCCTTCCCCTGCCTCTGACTCTCAAAACCAAACCTATCTCTCCATTATAGTCTCTTTCTTTTTGCCACGTCTTCTAGAATCTCTAACAGTAAGTGATTGTACTCGGTTTTGATCTGTCTCTGCATTCTTCGTGCCCTGTCGGTAATAGTCTTATAGCACTTGACACAAATAAAAAGACCCAACCCACTGCCATCAGGTTTATTTCAACCCATAGTGAGCCCAGAGGGCGGAGTGAAACAGCTCCTTAGTATTTGGGAAGCTGTATATCTATATGGGAGTAGACAGTCTCACCTTTCTCCTCAAAAGCAGCTGGTGGGTACATTTGCTTGTGGTAAAAGTGTCTTTCCTTTTCTTGACATTATACTCCTCAAAGCTAGGCAGGGCGCATAAGGCAGTTGACACTTTATTTTTCATTTCTCCCATCATACATTGCACGGGGCCAAAGGAGTGAACCTGTAAGATCTAGAGCTGAGCTTCAACGATAAAGTTCCAGAGGACTCCACTCTTTAGAGATGTAGCTGCTTCTAAGTATTTCATTCTAAGGAGCCTGGATATGCTAAGAAAAGAGAGGAAGTGTAAACGTTGCAAAGAAGTTGGCCAACTGGATCTGACCTGCACCTATGTATCGCTTTTGGAAGATATTCAAAATTTGGGAGGAAACATCACAAGAAAACCTCAAATTCCCAATCAGCGTGCAAAATCAAGCATCCCAGGCTTGCATCCTCACACACTCTCACTGCGATCGAGTCAATGCTGATTCACGGTCCCCTCCTTGTCAGTGTCTGGGGCTGTAACTGTTTACAGGAGTAGAAAGCCCCATCTTGCTTCCTTGGAACTGCTGGTGGTTTCAAACTGCTGACCATGAGGATTGCAGCCCAACGTGTAGCCACGACACTACCAGCTCTCTTGCGTTCTCACATGGCAACAAGTAATTGAAGCTGAATTGTCTGACTATTCCCTTTGCACAGAGCTTTATTTGCTCATAGTCCTCACCCAATCCACCCCGCTTGCTTATCCAATCTACCCAAATGCTGTAGGGAGTTGAACTGAAGCTCTGCAGGTGAGCGCAATAGGAGTAAGGAGGAAAATAAAGGCAGGAATAAAACTGTCCGGAGGCAAGATAAGCTCAAGATGGGGCACTTTTGAAAGAAAAGAAATAAGCTTAGAGACCTGGCTGAAAATACCCAGATGTACACAAATTATAGTGAATTAGGAAAACGATGAAGGGTCATAAAAAGCTGCCATGACTTCGGATTGAGGACATGCTGTCACCCTCGGGGGTTTAATGGCACTGAATGGCTCATCTCAGTGTTCACATGGCAAGAGATCAAAAGAGGACAAAGTGACTGTTTTCAGCAGAACCGAAAGTTCTTTTCTTGCTCTTACGGAAAAGTCAGCATCAGCGTCTTCTTACGGCTCAACAAGACCTGGAGTTAAGGACTTGTAACAGCGGAGGCTCGGGGTGGGGTGGGGAGGGGAGAACTTGGCTTTTGGCTGCTAACCATAAGGTCAACAGCTCAAAACCACCAGCCACTCAACAGGAGAAAGATTTTCTACCCTCAAGCGGGCCATTCTACTTTCTCCTAGAGCAGTGGTTCTCAGCCTTCCTAATGTTGCAAACTTTTAATACAGTTCCTCATGTTGTGGTGGCCCCTAATCATAACATTATTTTTGTTGCTACTTCCTAACTGTAATTTTGCTACTGTTACGAATCATCATGCAAATAGCTGGTATGCGGGATGTATTTTCATTGCTACAAATTGAACATGGTTCAAGCATAGTGATTAATCACAAAACAATATGTAATTATGTATTATGAACTATTTAGATGTTTTCCAATGGTCTTAGGCGACCCCTATGACAGGGTCTTTCGAACCCCCAAAGGGGTCCCAACCCACAGGTTGAGAACCGCTGTCTTGCAGGGTCATTATGAGTCAGAATCC